TTATATAAACCGCAGCGTCGAAAAATAGGGAAAAAGGCGCGGCTTATAGTCCGAAAATTACGGTAGCTGCTACGAGAATGTATGACAGCTTCCGGTTTTCGGCATTCTGGCTGCACATCACTCATTCACCAATGGGTGATGTTTAGATGGATTTGAGTTACTTCCCCTCGATCCCATTGGCTCTAATGGTTAAAAAGAGATGTCAATCATAAAAATGGACCAAGGGGGGCCAGAGATATGGAAAATGCACCCAAATGACCCCAGAAGTAGTTTTTTTTTTTGTTTTTTTTGTTTTTGTTGTTGTTGTTGCTAAACCTCTCTAAAAAAGGTCAAATTTAACTTGTTTTGCATCAATCTTGATACAGGGTACTTATTATATGTTATAGTTTGGATTCCTAAAGCTTTTAGTCTACCACCCCATCATTCAAGGGTGGTTTTCACTATAAGTAATTTTTTTTTTTTGGACGGACACAATCATTTACATTTTTTTTACTGTGTTCAATCTTACTTTAAAATAAAAACATCTATATTGATTCTGACACTTCTACATCCAACTCACATGTGTAACCTTGCTTTGAGAAAAAATATTATTAATTTAACACTTTTAGAAGGGAAGATATGATCATTTGTTCTGGGAATGTCATTTTCGAGCCTGAGACCTGAAAAACAGGCTCAAGGCTTAACAGGTTAAAGTAAAAAATTGCACATTGTACTAAAATAAATTCTGTGTATTATTTTACAATGTATGTGATATAAGTATTAATAAGATAAGAGCATCTATGGATTTAATAGTGACTTCATACAGTAGCAACTTTGTGAACCTTAATAAATCATCTTATAGAGACTCCCAAAGGTTCAGATTTAGCTCTGCAAATCCTCCTCCCGTCTGTGTGTTGACTGGCGGTAGTGATCTCAATCGGCTCACAGATAGCGAGGTTCCTTTCAGCGCCACGACTGAGGCTCTGTGTGTGGGCGGGACCAACCCCCCCCACCCCGTGCCGCCACAGCATCGAATCGAGCAGGGGAGAGGGAATGCATTCAAAGACATTCAACTGATAAGGCTCCTTTATTTATCTGTCGCCGTTATGTGAACCCCACCGGCCTAAGTGTGCATGAAGAAGAGAAGGCGGAAGCGATGCTATAGTGCGCGGTGAGTTTATGTCTTTATGTGTGCATGAGGAGGATTTTTGTGAAGGATTAGAAACAGATAAACCGGGCTGTGCATGACTGATCCACCCTTAATGCAGGGGAGCATCTCACGTCTTGTTCTGAATTCATTAAAGAGTGCAGGAGTGTTCCGACTCATATTATAGAGCTATAGGATGCATTTCGTTTTGAGAATAGAGCACTGTGAGATTATTCTATTGTGATGTTTAAGGACTAACTGTGGTTATGTAAAATGTTATGTGTGATTTAGTTTTAGCACAGTGTTGCACGTGTGTTCATCCTATTGGCTGTGTCTGTTTTAAAACATAGCCTATAATCTCCGTTAATGCGTGGATTGTTTTCCTAATTGGATACAGAGGCATTTGGCTAATCACAGCCACTATAAGCGCCTTTCAAGACGGATTTCTCTTAAACGATCTTATCAACTTTAAAGGTATAAAGATGCATTTTTTGCATTTACGCACAATTAAGTATCTGCGCATGTTGTTATATGAGGTTTCACGCGATAAAATTAGCGATCTAATTAGAATGCACCCTTTAACTTGGGGCTGGTGTGTGTGTCCTCTTGTTAGGGATGCTGCGGAATGAGAGCATCGTGGGAGGAAGGCTCAGAGCGAACCTGCGGGTGGTGAAACACGAATGGAGCTGCTTCCCGCAGATGAGAGAGGCAAGCAGCGCGATCCTCCCGACGTCCTTGACCGGGTTTCCGGTGCGCTGCTCCATGCCCGCAAGTCCGGTGGATCAACAGGAGGAGGAGGAGGAGGAGGAGGAGGAGGAAGAGGAGGGTACCCGGGGGAGGGCGTCTGTAACCCGGCCCGAGGCAGCCATGTCCGGAGTCATTCAGCACCAAGGACGGCGCCGCGCAGGGGGGGAGCGGAGGTTAAACTCGGTCACCTCGGCGAGGGGAAAGTAAAGGTGTGTTGCGACGAGGAGTTAGAGACATCCTTCACTTATATCGATGAGAATGTTAACCTATGCCTGGCCAGCCCGGACACTAAAAGCGCTCACAGGCCTGTGCGTAATGGCGAGCCTTGCTCAGAGACTTTACCGGAGTTTTCCTTCATGTCAGAGGACGATCTCTCCTTCGGGGAGGGCCCTGGGAGTTCTGTAGACTATGGCTTCATCAGTGCAGTCACGTTCTTGGTAACCGGGATCTCCTTGGTGATCATCTCCTACGTCGTGCCTCGGGATGTGGTGGTGGACCGTGACAGCGTGTCGGCGAGGGAGATGGAGAGGCTGGAGATGGAGAGTGCGCGGATAGGCGCCCACCTAGATCGGTGCGTCATAGCGGGGCTTTGCCTGCTCACGCTGGGCGGCGTGGTTCTCTCCACGCTGCTCATGATCTCCATGTGGAAGGGGGAGATGTACAGGAGGAAGGTCATCGCTTATTCCAAGCGCTCAGCCAAACTGTACGGCTCCATCAGCCTAAAGACCAGGTCCAGCCCCAGCCACTCCTCTGTGAATTTGTCCCTGGAGGAGGAAATAGAGGAAACTTTGGCTTAACATGCTGCTCTGTTTATGAACATGTTGGGTAAAACAGGAATTAATGCCATTCATATACATTATCTAGTGTAGCCTACAACTTTATTCACACATTTATTTTCGTCTCATACTGTAGTTAAACACTGTATTGTGCATCCACGTGGCCAACAGAAAAGCACTCAAATGCAAAATGGGGAATTGCAAGGAAAACATTAGGTGGTATTTTGCAGATAACGAATGCACATTTTTTCCATTAATTGTTCGGTCAACAAAATATCTGAAAAATGTGAGAAATGTCCATTTCAGATTTTCAAAGTCCAAGGAGATGTCTTTAAAATCCTTTTTTTTTTTTTAATTATGCCCAAAACCCAAATATGTTCACTTTAATATGAAATCACCATATTTGAGAAGCTCAAAATAATATTTGCTGCCATTTTTGCCTGGAAAAGACGTTCGATGAATCGATAATTTGCATATAACAATTACTTTTCTGTCTTCTAATCGTTGCAGCTTTATCAAATTGTTCACAAATGATTTCAAATGGCTCAAACCCCTGAAAGACACTAGGGAGATTGCTAATAGCTTTGTGATCACTTTTTTTCTGTACCAGGAATGCAATCTCTGAGAACTTCCATTTATTATTAAGGCTATTCATATTTAATGTGACTGTCTCCAACAGAGAAATTGTACGCAGACACATTTCAGCAGGGGAAAGTGTGTGTCTGCAGGGCCTGAGAGTGGAGGAAAGATGTAAAGCTGTCCCTGTCCACTGTGATGTGGGAGCATCAGCTCAGTGGTCCACACGGTAATATCCAGTGACAGTACCCCTGCTACACTGCTGAGGTAAGCCAGTATAAGCCCGGATTTGTGCATCTGAGCCAATGCTCAACATCGGTTTGATTGCACTGTGTAATTTCACCGCATTGGACAGCACCTCTGCACTGTCTTCCTCCTCTCTCCTCCTCGTCACCACTTCCACACAAGACTTTCCTCCTGCAGTTCTTCAATGCTCACCCCAACCTTTGTACACTTATATATTCACACTTGTGGAAAGTGTCCTGGACGACCACGGCAAAGTGCCTGTGACATTTCAACGAGCCTTTTCCTTACCTGCCTGCTCTCATCCTCTCTGCTTGAGGACAGACTTAAGAACGCCTAATCGCACATGAAAGAGTTGCCCCACTTCCCCAAAACCTTAAGTCTTCCCCACTTCAAAGAGCTAATTACATTAACAAAGTGAGGTATCAGTCTCTTTCCAAGGTTACATTTGATGGTATCACGGTAATTCACCTGCTAAAATATTTCTAAAATAAAGCTTAGGAAAAGAGGTTTATCATGAGCAGACTGGGTAACATTTTTTCAATGCAACAGTGTACAGGAAAGACAGAAACAACTTCATGTAAAACTTTCTATGACGGCCTTGTCTATATTGCATTAAAAACCTACTTGTGATGCATTATAATCTGTTTATAGCACTTTCTAATTACAGTTTAAAGAGGTCCTATTATGCTTTTCTGGTAGTGTGTTATATAGGTTTTTGTGCATGTAAATGGTCTGCAATGGTTATAAATCATAAAGTTCCCTCCAAAGGGAGTTTATCGCACACATTCCCCCACTGCCAGAAAAAGCCTTATTTGGACTCCTCTATTTACTTTCATAACATATTGATATCACTATGTAACACTTGCGTCTATTCGCAAGTGTTCCAACATCTTGTACGGGATAGGCTAAGAGGGGGGACATCTCTAAGCGGTTGACCAATCACAACAGAGCCGGCAAGCTAACCAATCAGAGCAGACTGGGCTCTGGTTTCAGACAGAGGGTGAAAAGAGGTGCTGCAGCACAGACAGTATGAGAAAAATAAAGAGCTTTTTGAACATTAAAGCATGTATGCTTACATGCTTTAATGTTCAAAAAGCTCTTTATTTTTCTCATACTGTCTGTGCTGCAGCACCTCTTTTCACCCTCTGTCTGAAACCAGAGCCCAGTCTGCTCNAGACACGCCCAGCATCAAGATTTTTCAAGATTTTTTTCATGCCTGTGTGTGAACGGGCCGTTATTTGGAGCAGGCTGGAGAAGGCGGGAGTTGAACTCTGACGTCACTGTCGAGCCGTTAGTGGCCGACTCCGCCTACTAAGGGCTTCTCGGCAACTCTGCAGAATCCTATGGGTGACGTCACGGACCCTAAGTCCATTTATATATACAGTCTATGGTTTTATCACAGCAGAATGTAACTTTATCTCCGGTAGAATTCTGATCTGGCATTAGCTCCGCCTCCTCTTTTTTTAATTTTTAAACCTAACGACCCAAAATCCGTGTTTCTCTAAACAGGGCTGGAATAGAGGGATATGAGGGATGTCTAAAATGCATGATCTGCTTGTATTTTGAGAAAAAGACATCATAGACGTGTTTTTATATTTTTTTATATATCTGACACCCATAATATATGCCTAAAAATAGCATGATAGGCCCACTTTAAGTCACTCACATCTGTCTGGATCCATGCTGGGTCTGGTCCATAGACTGGTCTGATCTTGACGTTTGAAAAGGGAGGCAGGGGAAGCAAAATATAGCACTGGTGTTGCTACAGGTAGTTAGCCCAGCCTAGTCCTTGCTAAACCATGCAGCTCCTTGAAAAAGAGCACGTGTACTGCCTTCCTCTTTCCCTAACTCATGCCTGTGTCAGGATGATCAGGTCTGAGCTCTTTTACTCTCAGCTTTCCCTCCAGTGTCCTCCTCTCAAAGGGTGTTTCTTTAAGTGATTAAACATAATTTTGCTTCTCCATATTCGCTATCTAGTTTGGTTTACACTCCGTCTCCGTCTAAATCTCTCTCAGTCAAACGTCAATCACTCACTCTGGCGCTCCTGCTGCCCCCTAGTTGTTGGCGGTGTCAACAGCTGCTTTGGGCGCAGTTTTGTCCGCCCCGAGCTGCCTCTATCGCTTACATTGAAGAGGTGCGGACTGCGCATGTGCCACTTATAACGAGAGTCAATGGCCAAAGATTTCTGCGCCCCAAGCAGGAAACATGTGATTTATCAGTAACTTTAGTAACTGTAACCATTTTTATCTATATTTTATCGTATATTTTACATTCAACTGACACCAAGTATATAATATATACCAAAAAAATGTATAAAATTAAAATATTTTTTAATGACATTCTAGAACGTGGGAAGAGGTGGGGCGGCGCCCATAGTGCCCCTATGGGCCGGCTGCTACTGCCTTTAACCCTCTTAAATCTTATAATTATAAAGTATCACAATGTTATAGCTTCCTCCTGCTCTGCCTGTCTGCATTTTCCAGAAAATAACTTTTCCCAATCCTACTTAGACCTTCTTGGAAATCTAAATGTATCCGCAGAAACTATTTGACAGGGTCAGCAGCTCTTAATCTAAGGTGGCAGACAACAACGACGCAAATACTCACATACTCGTGCACACTCAGGATAAGCATTGACTAGATGCAGGGGTGTAATAACACCTCCGGGAAATTAGCTGATGGCAGCAAGCCACTCCCGGGCCTTACCTGAAGGGATCGACTTACGGAGGAACCAACCAAATATCAATAAAGGTGATTTGACTCTGCACTGCTCAAGGATAAAGAGCTTATGCATGAGACCTCTGGAAATACACTTGAGCTTGCCATGTAAAATGCTGTCGCTTGAGCAAATCCCTGATTAAATCCCCCGTACACGTTTAGTTGGCTGTATGAGGGGGAAGCCTGGTGTTGGCTGTGAGGCACGAAGCCAACCACGGAGGAGGACAGAAAGAAAGAGAAGGGGGAGGTATAGTATGTTTGAAAACCTACAGCATAGTGCAGATGAGCCTGTTTGAAGTGTGCAATGTGAATGGCTTCCCAACGGCTTTTCTGAGCCTCTGAGTGTGACATTCTCACAGATGATGCCCTCTCTGATTGTGACCCTGACACTGAATGGAAATCACTGCATTTGCAATGTAGCTGTTATATTAGTAGATTTTGATTCATTCGCTCAATATAATCATAAGGAAATGTTGGCCTCCGTAGCATTGTTTTTGGCTGAGAACAAGTTTAATTTCACATGAGTGTTAAAAAGGAAGTGTGTCCAGCGTTTGGGCGTCGCACCTCGTCTTAGCGGCCAACAACGCCATGAAAGCTCGCTTAATGAAATATCACTTTAACATCTGTAATACTGGCTGTGGATTTACAGCTTCTGCAATGAGAACAGGACAACATTGCCTCATATGCATCATTAATTTTTATTACCTCTCCTGGAAATCTGTTCATTGGGCATTTTATAGCCGTTTCGTGACATGTAATGGATGTTTTTCAGGGATGCACACACTTGTCAGGTCTGTGGTTACGGAAGATGAAAAGCTGTGGTAGCATTAGCGTTAGTTGCATATTTATTCAACCATAATGCTGGATTAATACCTCATTAGTGATCCAGTCTTTTCACTTGAATGTGAAGTGACTGGCACCTAGAAAAATATGCAGTGACAGTGTACATAAAAGAAATGCAACTGAATGAAAGCGCAACAGCGGTGTGGCCTTGAGCTGTTGAACACAGAGTCATCAGCCTACGCATCTCATTATGACAGGCTGACTCATGTCCCTCTCAATGTAAGCCTTGAAATAGGGTCACATTAAAAGCCTTGGAAATAAAAAAGGGCGAGAAACCACGGTAACAGTGACACTGCATGAGAGCCATTAGCACTTGTCGTTGGCTGTGTACATGAATATATTCAAATATGAATTAATTATAGTGATTCATGCATGATTCATGAGCCTTACAGGATAGTCTACATTAAAAAAAAAGATGTCAACAGAATTGTGTGGCATTATTTATTCTCTGAAGACAGCAGTGACAGAAGCTAAAATCGTGGGTAAGAATATTGAAGACAGCCATGTATAATGCATCATAACAAACATATTAGGCATTATAATCTGCTTATAGGACTGTATTATTGTAGATATCAGCAGTCATACATATTCATTATGTTGTTTACAATATTCACAACCCATACAAATATTTCTAAATTATAATTGTTTGATCTTGTTTGATGTTATATGTTATGTTGCTGTTCCATCAGTTTTTTGATGTGTGTGTTATTCCTGCATATATATAATGATTTTGATGCAGCTATTCTCTTGAATGTACAGTATATATATATATTTATGCATTGTCCTTGTTAGAAATAGAGACATAATAACCACTTATATTGAGTTATAACCAGTGTGTTACATATTATATCTGCCTATACTTCATGAAATAACTTAATTCAAGCACCCAATGGTAACTTAGAAAAATCACATTAAAATGCATTACTATTATACATTATGACCCTTGTTAAAAGTATAATGTATGCTATACTTGACCATAAGTCATTTAAAAATGCATTATAATGTGATGATCATTGTTGAGTGCTCTAAAAGGGCCCCATTTCCGGGTTCATATTTGTATGTTGTTCCTCTACTGTGACATGCTTACATGCTTTAATGTTCAAAAAGCTCTTTATTTTTCTCATACTGTCTGTGCTGCAGCACCTCTTTTCACCCTCTGTCTGAAACCAGAGCCCAGTCTGCTCTGATTGGTTAGCTGGCCGGCTCTGTTGTGATTGGTCAACAATAGAGATGTCAATTGCATGTTTATATCTTGAGAAGTTCTTTATTAATCATGTTAAATTGAGATAATCTGACTATTCGTTGAGTCTTTTATGAATAGTCATAAAAGTCATTAAAGACTCACAGAAACACACACAGAAACTATTGTATTTGTTTTTGTTCTGATTTTTTGTAAAGCGTCTTTGAGCATTAGGAAAAGCGCTATAAAAAAAATCCAATGTATTATTATTATTTTATTAGATCAATATTTTATATTGTCTAATACAGAATCAGAATCAGGATCAGAATACCTTTATCCTGTTAAGCCCAGGAGGACCCTAATCCGGGTCTGGCGGGTAGCTTTTTCACGAAACTGTGTCTCAGGGCTTCTTAATATTTAAAAGCCTATTAATGTGTCATACCAGATTAACGGGAAGAAACTCAGCTAACTGATGATACGAACAATTTTTACCAAAACAAAACACAAGTCTCATAAAAAGTGTCTAAATGACCCCTGAGCGAAAAAATGCTAACGCACTTGACACAGAACTCAAGGTAAAGATACCCTTATTACTTATTGTAACTGCACATACAAGATATCCGATTAAAGCTGAGATTCCACAGATTATATACTGTAGGTATCAGTATCATCACTGAGCAATCAGAACTCGCAGCAGGGGAAGCAAACACAGACATCATAACACGTAGCATTACGGAGCAAACACGGGAGATCGTCTCACCTTAGCTGTTATTCTGATCAAAAGTTGTCTTCAATGACATTAAAACGATAAAAACGCTGCTGAAGGTTAACCTATAGATTAATCCAATGTGTCTGTCACTTTGAAAAAATTATTGATAATCCATAATTCCATTTTTATGTAAAAATCGGAGAATTAAAATTAGCTGCTAATGGTAGCCACCAGAGTGTATCGCAGCTTCCGGTTTTGGCTACGCGTCACTCTCACTCCTTATTTGGTTATGTGTGTGTGAATGTGGAACTTCCCCTCGATTCCATTGGCTCTAGCGTAAAAAGAAATGTCAATCATCAAAATCGATGAAGGGGGGCCAGAGATAAGTCAAATCTACCCAAATGAGCCCAGAAGTGTTTTTTTTTGCTAAATCTCTCTAAAAAGGTCAAATGTCACTTGTTTTGCATCAATCTTGATACAGAGTACTTATTATATGTTATATTTTGGATTCCTAAAGCTGTTAGTCTACCATCCCATCAT